ACAATTTTCTCCTGACAATGCATGTCTCTTCTTTGGATCCTGATCTATGTGATGTCTCTTGATTGTTGTAAAATAACATCTTTTCTAGACAGTAGCTAGATGTAACATGAAGTAAGGTAGACACTTGCTGGGGATGTTTGCAGAATAATGAAATACTACAATTATATACATGTGTGTTTTAAGATGAGAGTTCTTCCAGTTTTTAGGCACGTAGATCAGTTCATAAGGAATAATTTTCATGTGTTTCTGCTCCTTGTTCTAGGCATCTTTACTCAGTTGCTAAAAGTATTTTTGAAACATAAGTTTGTATGAATTTTTATTGTTTTATCATGTGTTGTGAGCCTCCTTGAGCCTGCTTGCAGGATAGGGTGGGATATAAATAAATAAATAAGTTTTTTGGAAATGTTATCATTGAGATGAAGTGAAATGTAATCTTGTTTCAACTGGGTATGTAACTACTGGCTTTTGGAATATTGCAGAAGGTGGAATTAGTTGGATAGGCTTGAATGTCCTCCCTGGCTACTTACTGAGAAAGTTAGTCCAAGCTGGTCTTTGTCTTCTCTGCCTCCAGGGTGTGAAGACTGTAGTCAGTATCATGATTCAGAATGTCCAGAACTGGGGCCGGTAGTGACTGTCAAAGACTCCTTTGTATTAAGTAGAGCAAGGTAAGTTGAACTGCAAACTCTGTTGCTTTTTAAAGCAAATGAAGCCAGAGCTGCAAAAAAGAATTCACTGAACTTTTGGTTTTCCTTTTTTTGCTGCATTTCAAATTAGAAATGTGCCTGATCTTGGAGACTTCACATGTACCCTGTTCTGACTGACTGCTAAAACAATTCTAAACTACTGCTGGAAGTTTTCCCACTCTGGCATAATTCAGTACCAGGAAGGCAATGAAGATGGCTCTGCAGTAGAGAATAATTGGAGGGGGTGTGGCTCAGTGGTAGAGCCTCTGCTTGGTATGCCGAAGGTCCCAGGTTCAATCCCTGGCACCTCCAGTGAAAAGGACCAGGCAGTAGGTGATGGGAGGGACCTCTGCCTGAGACCCTGGAGAGCAGCTGCCAATCTGAGCAGACAATAATGACCTTGATGGACCTTCAGTATAAGGCAGCTTCATGTGTTCATGTGTTCAGTTGGGTCAGTCAGGATAGAAATTCATGGCTAGATGTCCCTTTAGGCTTCACATTGTATCTGGGCTAGAGCAGGGGTGGATTGGCCATTAAGGCCACCTGGGGACATTGTGGTGGGCCAGTGCCCCTGCTGGGACTGTCCCAACCCGAGAGTGGCCCTTTAGGAAGTGGGCAGGAGCCACTGCTGCTGCAAGCCGGCAGCACCCATGAAGAAGAAGAAGAAGAGTTGGTTTTATACTCCGCCCTTCACTACGTGAAGGAGTCTTGGGGTGGCTTACAATCTCCTTCCCTTCCTTGCCCCACAGCAGACACCCTGTGAGGTAGGTGGGGCTGAGAGAGCTCCGAGAGAGCTGTGACTTACCCAAGGTCACGCAGCTGTCTTCACGTGGAGGAGTGGGGAATCAAACCTGGTTCTCCCAGATTAGAATCCCCCGTTCAGCCAATGCCGAAACCACCTACAGAAAGACAGCTTTCCTTCTTTAGTCACTGGAGGTGTTAATGAAACTGTCAAGACAGATGATTGAGAAGGTGAATATTTGCTTACTAAGTATGCTTACTGTCCTTGGTTATACTCATTTGAATCGTTACTGTATATTGTTTGCAAAGTGGTTTGCAGTCTGTCTGTCTTCACAGCGGGCATGTGCAAAGTCATTATATAATTTGAGACTCACTGCGGCTTCAGATTTTGAATTTACTGCGCAGAAAATGTTTTAGTGTGGGGAAGACATATTTATATATATATACATAATTTCTAAACTGAAGTGTTTTGGTGGTGGAAAGTGCCATCAAATCACAGCTGATTTATAGTGACCCTATAGGGTTTTCAAGGCAAGAAATGTTCAGGGCTGGCTTGCCGTTCCCTGCCTCTGTGTCACGACCCTGGTATTCCTTGGCCGTCTCCCATCCAAATACTATCCAGGGCTGATCCTGCTTGGCTTCTGAGATCAGACAAGCCTGGGCTTTCCAGGTCAGGTTTTACATATAAGAAAATCATTTTTAAAGAACATTTGAAGTGAAGCTGAAAGATGTCAGTATCAGTAGAAGAGTTTCATGGCTTGTCCACACTGGTGTTCATACCATATAAAAGTGCAGAAAGGTTAACTTCTTGTTCCATCAGTGTGGGAGGGTGATTTGAAACTTTTGCATTTTGCACTTGCTAATAAATAGCTATTTTTGACATTACTGTGTTGAGGGGTGAGGCTGAGTTCATCCTTCTGTGGATGCTGGCGGACTTGTACCAGACACGGCTCATTTCTGGCGTACTCTTGACTTGTCCAAAATACTCACTTTTTAGGTCATCGCTTCCCTCCAATTTGGAGATCAGACAACTTGAAGATGGGACTGAAGGTGTTTTTGCAGTGACTCAGATGGTCAAACGTACCCAGTTTGGCCCTTTTGAATCCAAAAGAGTTGCCAAACTGGAAAAGGAGTCAGCCTTTCCATTGAAGGTACCATGTATCCAAGCTTAAGTTGTCTGTCTGTCTGTCTGTCTGTCTGTTTGTCACAGTTTTATCCTGCTCTTCCTCAAAATAGGTTAGACATAGAAGTGTGATAAGCTCTCTCTCCCTTCCTCTCTCCCTCCCTCTCTCCTTCTCTCCCCCTCTATACATACATACATACATACATGCATGCATGCAGACATACATACATATGGGGGGGGGAGAGAAAGAGAAGGAGGGAGGGGATTTTGGAAACGTCGTATGGTGGGACTCAGTAGGAACAGGAATCCAGAAGGTCCAATACACAGCTTTGTGGCAGACACTTGTAGGAAAAATGAGATTCTCATAGCCTGAAGAGGTTCTGTTACATCAAAGACAGATGATTGAGTCAGAAGCTATCGTCATCATGGGAACTGGTTTCTAGTGATTTATTCCTTGTGTCACAACAATAATAGCTGAATGCTGGGACCACATAGGCAGGGCACAGTCTAGTAACTGAAATGAAGAAGAAGAGATTGGATTTATACCCCGCCCTTCACTACCCAAGGGAGTCTCAGAGCGGCTTACAAACTCCTTTCCCTTCCCCTCCCCACAACAGACACCCTGTGAGGTAGGTGGGGCTGAGAGAGCTCTGACAGAAACTGCTCTTTTTCAAGGACAGCTTCTTATCAGAACTACAGCTTGCCCAAGGTCATCCAGCCAGGTGCAAGTGGAGGAGTGGGGAATCAAACCCGGTTCTCCCAGATTAGAGTCCACGCACTTAACCACTACACCAAACACTGTAAATGCATTCTTGTATATGGTGGTATTATTAGATGTGATCATTAGGATCAAGTTTATATTCAGTATCTATCTCACTGGGTGTGCCTCAGGTTTTTCAGAAGGATGAGCCTCCAGTATATTTTGATACCTCTAATGAAGATGATTGTAACTGGATGATGATGGTGAGACCAGCCACCCAGTATGAACACCAGAACCTGACTGCCTTCCAGCATGATAATGAGATTTACTTCACTACTTCCCGGGATATCCCTCCAGGAACTGAATTAAGAGTATGGTATGCAGCTTTCTACGCCAAAAAAATGGAAAAACCTGTTCTAAAGCAGGTTGCTAACATTGCCAATGGTACGTGTGGTTGGATTTACTGTGTTAATGTATATAGTACAGTTCTGTGTACATAGTACTAGCCTAAGCAGCTAGAAGTTTCAACTATCTCCCAGTCCTTTTAGACAAAAGGTTGTAATAGGTGGCTTTGTGGCTTATTTCTCTGTATTCAAATATTACTAGCATATTGTAAACTCTAGTTAGAAAAAGTATATGCCTTCTATTAAGATCTCTCAAATTATAATGTGCATTGTATGAGAGGTATCTGGAACGTTCTCAGCCTAAGTAGAACAGAATTAGGGGTATGTGTGCAGTATTCTATTCCCTCCCTGTCCCTCCAAATGAAAAACCCGCCTCTGAAGCAGGCTACTATCATTTTTTCTGGTGGTTCTAGTGGAAGTGCAAGAAGAATAATTTATTTTTAAAATTTTCCATCTTTTAAGGTTAATATATCAGAGGCATTTTATTTGATTTTTTTCCCCCTCAAGGTGGGGGACGACGACTTTTTCAGAACTCCCTCATATATCAGTGTAGCCCATGTTACCAACCCATGTGGTATCTCACTGATGTAATAGGTGGGAGAAAAAGTAATAGAAATATTCTCTCTGTAATAGATGTGTGCTTAGTTGTGATGGAGTGTGATCAAGAAGGAAACAAAACTACTTCAAAGCCTTCTGACACATGTGTCTTTTCTGTCAAGAAAGTCAAGAAATCCCGATTCCATGAGGCCGATCTTACAGGTATGGAAATCTTCATTCTGTATCTGCTATGTGGTGGTGAGTGTCGATGCCTTGGCAGACAATGATTAGAGTGCACCTGTGATGAGGCAGCTGTCAAATCTGATAGTATTTGTGATGGTGCTGGGTGGAGTAAATTAGTGGATTTAAACTTATAACCCCAGTTTTGAGAAAATAGTCACTTCCCAAAATACAGCTTCATTTTGAATTCACACAGTTTTATCAGTACCCATTTCCATCGTCATATCAGAGTACAATCCTAAAGGGAGACACACCCTTTGAATCCCATGGAAACCAGTGGGCTTTACTGCAGAGGTCGCTCTACTTAGGTTTGCTCTGTCAGTGTTCCAAAAATCTTAATATTTTAATACTGTATGTGTCCATAAAGATACTGAGGACTTTTCCATTTTGTGTTTTTGCGAATGCTAAATGTTCATTTTTGTTTGCTATAATCTAGAGAGCACTATAGAAAGTAGTGGGCCTCTTGAAACAGAGTCCAACCAGTGGACTTGTAAAGTATGCTCAACAACTTTCCAAGAACCTCATCTGCTGACAGGTAAGGGAAGGACTCTTCAACTTCTGCAGTTGTGTAAATGCTCTGTTGATGGCATGGAATCTTAGCTGTTGTGTGTGGGTTATGCTGCTGTTTGTAAGACTGCATTTGAAAGATGAATGAGGAAGCCATTGCTTTGCATGTGCCCTGGACCATTCAGAGAACTTTGGATCAGTGTTCTGCTTTGTCTCCACCTTGTGTCTGTGTTTCCATATGGTCCTTAACTTCCTGACATTCTACTGATCCTTGTAAAACAAAAAGTAGCAAAAAATCCTAACAGATACCCCCCAAAACACAAATATGAACTACACTTTATGTATGAATATGTATGAAATATGAAAATTATTCTTAAAAGATTAAATAAAGTGGGCAAGATAAAGTTGAACAGAATGAGTAATTACTTGGTTAAAAATATTGCTGATCCAAAATACAATTGAAAGCATGACAGTTTGTTCTGATTTTTTTATGTGTAATGCAAAAGTAGCCGTTTTCTGGATAACCTGTTTAGTGATTTTTAGAAAACAGAAAATTCAGTTTTCTGCAAACTGGACCAAAACTCCTGCCTCATCAGTTATTTATGGAAAAATCTTTTTCTCGTGCTCTCTTTTTCTCGTACAGGATGGGAAAACAAACAAGGTAGTAAATGCTTGATTCCCCCTTATTCACAGGAACAGTGCTGCTAATTATACACAGTCTTTCCATAAAAACACAGCTTGCATTGATGGAAATCTCAAAAGGTGTAAGCTCTTCTCAAAAGGAACTTGACTGAACATTCTTCCATGCCATCTTGATACTTATTAATGTTTTGCCAAGGAGCAATCCAATCTGAAGCTATGGATAATAAATGGCACTGAGCATGCATTTCCTTCAGTCAACTGAAATGAAGCATTCACTATACTCAGGTCATGGGAATAATACGAGCAATGTTAATAAAATAAAAGAACTTGCAAAGAACTGGACCCTACACATTGCATTTTACATTTAGAAACCTTTTCTGGAATGGCCAGGAGTTGTCAGAAATAATCCAATCATTTCAGTCTCTTCCAGAATTGTAACTGGAGTTCACAAATCTCCCTAATTGCAAATTGTATTCCTAAAAGCATGAGAATGTGTATTGGTAAAAATCTTCTGGAATGCAATAGAAAAATTGTGTACCCTGTGCAACATTGGCCAATTTGGTCAACAGTGGATTGAGGATCCTGAGAACTATACTAGCCTTTAGAAGTTAAGGCTATCTTTAATTCGAAACACAACCTTACTTGCAACTTTGCAAAGCTGAAGATGTTTCTGGATGGCAGTCTCCCCCTCCCCCCCAAGGCATTATCAAGTATTGATTTTGTTGCATTTTTGTGTCAGATGCTGTGGAATCCTGGCTTTAGGAAGAATCCAATTTTTAAAAGCTCACAGATCTTCCTGTCAGTCATATCGTTTTGGTCTTTCCTTGCAGAACATCTGCTGAGTCACTTGGAACAAACCAAAGGACCTCCTCAGGGCAATCAAAACGATGCACTTCCAGAGAAGGCTGTGGAGGCTCATCCTTCCAATCAGCCTGTAATCTGTGAAAGCACCAACATCAATGTGGATATGAAAAGAAAACCCCAACGGGGCAGGAAGCCAAAAGTAGCAAAGGCAGAAACTCAACTTGTGATTGTGGATGATAAAGACCATTCTGGTGAGACCTACAAGTTATTAAAAGTAGCCAACAGTGGCCTTTCATTTAATACCTAATGACAGAATTATATTCTGGTGGATATTCCTCAGTTTTCACATCCCTCTGTGCTGCAGAGTTGGTTTCTCTGCTGCAGGTCTGTTTCCTCTGTAAGACATATGTTGTACATATGAATTATGGAACACATTAGTGTTTTTGATTTATAACTGCAGTTTTTACATGCAAGGAGTGTCTTTTTAATGGACATAGAAATTAAACTGGAAATAAGAAATATTTTACACTTTCAGCCAGTATCTCCTCCCACTGCCAGTTGATAACATATTTTCACAAATGTGTTGCCTCTCTTTTCACCTGGGTTATCTAGCATCATTTATAAATTACCTTACAGACAAAAATGGATGTCAGTAAGACATCTTCTTTCTTTGGCTATTTTACATTACTTGTACTTACCTTTTTATATCTTTGCCATCTGTATTAATCAAATGTCAACAATTTAGGCACTGTTTCCATTTGACGTGTCATTCTTCAGTCATCCCCAAAAATCTCTGTAATTGACTATATAGCTAGGGATGGGCATGAACCCATAAATGAACCCTGGTTCGAGCACGAATCACGTTAGTTTGTGGTTTGTGAACCAGGGGTTCATGAAAATGTATCTCCCATGATCTGCCCATGAACCTCCATGTTTTTCATGGAGGCTTGTGAGGTTCATGGGAGACACATTCTTGCAGGCTCCAAAGGCATTTAAATACCTTTGGTGCTTACTTCCGGGTCCAGTGGCCCAACCAGAAGTGAGTGTTGGGCATTTAAATGCCATTGGAGCTCACCACCAGCCCATGGCCCAACCCGAGGCCTTTATAGGCCTTTGGAGCTCACTCTGGAAGCTCAGTTCTGGTTGGGGCCACAGCTCGCATAAGCTCCAAAACATTGGCCCCACAAACTTCCGAAAGCACAAACCAGTTCATGCATTGGAGAAGTTTGTGGAAGTTTGTGGTTTGTGGTTCATGAAAATCTCGAACCTCCACAAACCTCCATTTTTTCTGATTTGTGTCCACCTTTCTATATAGCTTTATCCATGTCCATTGAAGTCAAGGCACCAAATCATTTTAACAGAGCAGTCCTAAGCAGAATTACAGCCTTCTAAATCCACTGAAGTTAATGAATGGTATAGTTCTGGTTAGCATTGCACTATAAATAATCTTTGGCTTAATCAGGGTTTTTTTACCTGAAGCCCCAGTGTCACGCACGGTCTGAACTTACATTACTGTAATGTCTTGGGATCCAGTGCTCCCCCAGTAGTAAAGTCAAAAGATATAGGAAAAAGAATTTAAACAGCAATGACTGCAGCCGCAGAGTCCCCAGCAGTACCATTGCCACTCACTAATTACATTACTTCCCTTCCTCGGCCGTGACGACCTGGCTACAGTGATCCATGCGACGGTCACCTTGAGGTTAGACTACTGTAACGCTCTCTACATGGGGCTGCCTTTGGGGCAGATCCGGAAGCTGCAGCTAGTGCAGAATGCGGCGGCCAGGCTGATGATGGGTCTCCCCAAGTGGGAGCACATCCAGCCTGGACTGAAAGCGCTGCACTGGCTGCCAGTAGCATACCGAATCTGCTTCAGAGTGCTGGTACTTAACTTTAAAGCCCTACATGGCCAGGGTCCAACCTACCTGAGGGACCGCCTTTCCCCGTATATTCCCCAAGAGCACTTTGGTCCGGGGCACAACATCGCCTGGTGGTTCCAGGCCCCTGGGAGGCAAGGCTCACTGCGACTAGGACCAGATCCTTTTCAGTGGCAGCCCCTACCTGGTGGAACGAGCTCCCGGAGGAGATCAGGGCCCTGCAGGACCTTATGCAGTTCCGGAGGGCCTGTAAGGTGCTCTTCCGCCATGCTTTCACATAGGGGCCGTCACTACCACCACCACCAATGCGGTGGATAACATCGGGGTTAAGGATGGCCCGGGAAGATCTGCCACTATTTCTGTGTGACTGATACTACTGGATTTACCTGGTTGGGATAGGCAATAGGATAGCATCATCCCTGGAGAACTGTCTGTCTTCCATCTGGCATGTATCTGGAGACCATCTTGTCTAATTGAGTACAATTGTTATTAATGTTTTTTTTTGCTTTGCCCCTTGTCAGCTGCCCTGAGCCCACTCTGTGGGGAGGGCGGGGTATAAATCTCAATAAATAAATACTTCTGGTGATAGCTGTGCACTGCTTTTGTGTATGGCAGGCACCTGTCAGCAAGCAGCAATGCCCAGATTATGAGAGGCAACCTCTTCCTCACTTGCCAACATACACATGGCACAAATTTTCTGCCTGAAGGCATTGCATGTTTTGACTCAAAATGGTAGATGAGAAGTACCTTTTGCCTGCAGCTGGCATATAAATATCCTGGTAGTCCAAGCTAAGACAGCACCCTTTCTGCCAGGTAAATATAAGGAGGGAAGTAATAATGTTATATACCCATTTGACACATCTCCCTCCAAACATAAACTCACAGTCTGGCAACTGTTAAGTGCCTCTGCCTCAAAGGACAAGGTGCTAGCTCACCAAGTTAGACAGTAAGCAGCTGGTGCCTTCAGGCAAGAGTTTGAAAACCTGCATCAGAGGGTGAAACAAATGCTGTCCTAACCACAGGACACAACCAACTTCATAGCCATATGGGGAAGTGTGTACAGAGAATGTGTCCCTTTCTTCTGCCCCTTTGCAGCATAAGGGTTCAAGTCCTAATGGGGGTACAGTGCTTTTTTAGTAAGTGAGGAGCTATTCATGCAAAAAGAATGGAAGCTGCAACACCAAGCAACACAGTAAAGTGCCTCCTGGCACTGTGGGAAGGCAAAGTATGACAGGGAAAAGAAGAGTGAGGTTTGAGTCCCAACCCCCCACCCCTGGGAAATAGCAGCACAACCTCTGCAAGATTCTGGCTGGCAAATGTAGAATAGTCAGGTGTAAAGCTCATGATGGAGCTTTTGAAGTCTTTCAGGAGGCAGCATGTACCATGTACTCCCCCCCCCCCCATGCACAAAATGATCCCAGCTATAGGACCTGGTGCAGAAGGGCTATTTTGCAGTGCTGTAGTTTACTGGATATAACTGGCTTAGCACACAAGAGATTGCAGGTTCAGTCTGCCTACTGAGCCCCTGCTATTTCCCTCTTTATTTTGGCCAACCCTACCTTTTGCTTATTAATTTGTTGCTCCTTGCCCCAGCAGGCCACATTCTCCATCTCCTCCACTTCAAGCAGGCTATAAGTTTGAACCTTGACTGCCATTCTAATGTATTTGAAAAAGTGTGCATGCACACGAAAGCTCATACCTTGAATAAACCTTTGTTGGTCTTAAAGGTGCCACTGGACTCTACATTTGTTGTATTGCTTCAGACCAACACGGCTGACCAACTGGATCTAACTGCATAGCTTATTTCACTAGCCATAACCAGGAGAGGTGTGAGCTGCTGGGAGTTGCTCCCTTGCCCTACTGTTCAGGTAGCCAGAGCCTGGAGAAGCTGCAGGTGGGGTGATGAATAGCTCCAGCCTGATGTCCTAGTGCAGGTCTCATTCTAAAGAGCCCTATGATGAGTGAATGCAAGGAGAGGAGAAACTCGTAGCTGCCACACAGGGACATGCTATGAAACAGACATAAGGAGGGAGTTCTGAAAGCAATAAAGAGGAAAGGGGTTTCCATTTTTTAAAATTCCAACGAGCTACTTTGCCTTTGAAAGCTGATTGACAGATAACAGAACAGCAGGTGCAGTCCATACATGTCAGGAATAACTACACCTTTCATGTAACTGACTACACAGCACATTTCAGAGGCACAAGCATTGCACTAGAACAAGAGAGCTGATGGCCCTACAGCTAGACAGCTAGATACACACTGCTGCTGGCTGAGGCCTCACATATGGGCTACATTGCAGTCAGAGACAGGAACATCTTTGCCTCTGCAGCTGTTTGGGGGGGCTGCGTGGAAGAGAGAGCCAAGAGGCAGTACAGAGTAATGGCCAGTGGTTGCAATAGGTAGCAGTGAGGCTCAGGCAAGTGGGAAGGGAAGGGGAAGAAATGAGGGAGTGATTGGGCTGGGTGCTCTTGCACGCTAAGCCATGAAAGTGTAATTACATCTTGTAAATAGTAGGTTAAGATTATGAGCATGACAGCTGATAGACTCCTTAAAATTTACTGTGGTATATTTCTTGCTCTCGTCCATCTACTTGGATTCAGTTATTTATGCAGATGATTCACCTGCGTAGATTTTGTCCAGAATATTTTATTGGTCTGGAATCATTGGTTGCCACAATGGAATTTTTAAAAGGAACAAGAGATATGTTTCTCTATAAGGATCTGGCTCTACTGGCAGCAGTGAGAGTATCACAATGATATAAGATGTTTAATCTGAAGTAGGGAGTGGGGAATGGCTTGATAGGTCACCGTAGCCTTCACTTTATTTAAGCTGTGGTGCTTTGCTTCTACCAGGCTGGATGAGCATTGCCTTTTTATGCAATATGGCTAGTGGGAATATGGCAGTGGGAGACATAATCCATTATTAATCTGACTACCAAACAACAAAAATAGCTAGGTTTATAGTTCTCCTTTCTATTTTAAGGAATTATGTAAACTGGACAGACCAGCAGAAATTGGAGTGACTGTTGGCAAAGAGCAGTAAAGATATTATGCATATTTTGTCTACCTGTCTGCTGGCAGTTATGAAATGCAGATGAAAATGTATCAGTTAGCGTGTTGTGGATTGAAGTGAGCAAATAACCCCTTTGCTCTTTTATTTTCATGAAGGATTATTGATTCTTATACTGCTTTTCGGTTTTGCTTTTTTGTGTTGTTTGTCTTATCTGCACATTTTTTAATGGCCAAACTTATAAATGTGTTCTTGTCTGTAATGATGGTACTTAAAAGTGACAATTCACTTTTTTTTATAATGAATTCAATTAAAAGAGGATCATGTTGCTGAAATTATAACGGAGATCCCACCTGATGAGGCGGCTCTTCCTTCTGCTGAAGAAGAAAGGATCATGGATCTGGTTTTAGGGAAGCTACCCAGTACTGGAAACAGTATGAATTCCATAACAAAGTAAGTTCCTCTGAAAACAGGGATGGTAAATGGTGAACATTCTTCCACCATACACTAGTTTTCATTTTAATATGAAAGAGGACTAGAAGCTGCTCATGTGGGACAAAAGATAAGGGGATGTATACTGACATTCTGCCCAGCAAAGCAAAAAAAAAACAAAGGCTCTTCTTTTGGAGGAAGGCTCTTTGCACTGGAGAAAGTCTTTGGACATAGCTGAGTGCAGTGGTAGGATATAACCCTATAGCTCTGGCCATCTTGAATAAGATTCAGTATGAGAGAATTCATTACAAAATTGGAAAATAACCAGGGGTCATTTCGTAGAAAAAGAGCTAGGGGAACTCATTAGCATAACTCATTAGCATATGCCACACCCCCTGACATCAGGGGCCCGGCGGTGGACCTGCAAGGCCAGCGGGAGTGCGAGGAAGGCCCTCCCTGGCCCCAGGCAGGCAGGGGTGGGGAAAGGCGGGGAGGAAGCAACTTACCCTCCCTCTTCTGCCTCCTCCTGGCTGAATGAGGGCTGGAAGCGGGGTGGCCGGAAGCAGGGGGTGGGGCTTCATCATGTGCCCCACCCCCCTGCACCTCACCTGGGGGAATTGTGTTCCCCCGCGTTCCCCCCCGAAATGACCTCTGAAAATAACTACTAAAATTCTGGTCTGTGAAATGGCATAATCACGCTGAAACTTCATAGCCTGATGAGAGTAATTGGTTTTATTTTATATCATTCCTATATCATAATTTTCCATTTAACCTTAATTAAAAATAGGCTATAGGTATTTCCTGATTGCTGACTTTCATGTTACCATATTTGTAAATAAGACATCCCATGCAGATGACTTCCAGATGATTGGCAGAAGAAAGTAGGGCCTGATCTAGGAACTCTGGGGCCCTTCAGTTTCTCTCCAAAATGACACTTCTGGCAAGATTCAGGTCTATTAGTGACTTCAAGGCCAACAAGATTTCTAGGATATAAGATTTTAAGAGTCAAAGCTCCCTTCATCAGATACCTGACAAAGGGCACATTGACTCTCAAAAGCTTATACCTTGGAAATCTTGTTGGGCTCCAAGCTACTATTGGACTCAAATTGTGCTCTTCTACTGCAAACCAATGTGGCTGCCCACCTGGCACTTCTGGCTGTAATCCATAAGTGGGGTTAGAGACGTATAGAGGGTTTGCATATGATAGACCCTGGTTTCAATCAGCGTTCAATCACGAGTACTTTTTTTTTTTTAAGTGTATGGCTTATTTGTATCTTTTTTCTATTACATTTTGTGTTGTTTGTTGTGTTGTTTTTAATTTAGTTTTAAGTAGGGCATAAATTTTTTTGACAAATTTATACGTAAAGCTCACTGGGTAGGTTCCTGTTTGTGAGAAATGCTCCATGCTGATTATATTACTAGTAGGGCACATTTGGGGACCGTTTGTTCAAAAGGAAAGATAGCACCTCTAAGGGTTTCCCATGTGGGAAGAGCTTTTGACATGGGGATGCTTTCAAAGAAGTTAATTCCTCCACTTGAGTGTTGAAGTATTACACTTTAGTGAGAGGACTATACCAGCATGCTGCATCAGCTTTGGAAATGATTTGTGGTATCTGTCTCCCAAGGCATTCCTTTCACAGCATGGTTGAACCTTTTTGTTGTGACTTCTTTCCAATCTGGCAGGTATCCTCATCATCAAAGCTCTATGTCCCTCAAGAGAAGTTTAATCCTCTCTAGCAGACACGGGATACGGCGAAAACTGATCAAGCAGCTTGGAGAACACAAGCGGGTATATCAGTGTAACATCTGCAGTAAGATGTTCCAGAACAGCAGCAATCTCAGCAGGCACATCCGGTCTCACGGTGGGTTCAAGCTGGTTTTCTTTTGGGACCTTCCACAGCCACTTGTGGCAGCAGATCTATAACCTAGCGGACAAAAGTAAAACAAAATTCAGTGATAGTTGAAATATTAGTTAGGTGGACCTACTGCGATTTTTAGCATTCAGATTACTGGTAAAGAGAGTTTGCCAAAGTTCTAAGAGAATTTCCTATTATTTGAGATGAAGAAATTGGTTGTCTTTTCCTGGAAACTGTATATCATTTGTTGAATTATTTTAATTGACTTATGATCTGATAGTTGATGCCGATGCATGTTTATAAAAATGCTGAACTATGTATATGTAGATATCAATGAGTTAGTCTAGTTATCCCTAGATTTTTATAATTATTTAACAACAACAAATTTTTTTAAATGAAATGTATAAACCAAAATTGGATCAGAACAGTTGACTAAGAGCTTTTCTAATTAATAATGCAAAATGTGATGGTGTGCGTTTGTTATGTCTTCCATCCATTTCTGTTTCAGGGGTATAGGATTCAAACATCATGTCAGGGTCAGGCTGATTCAGTTCTTTCCTTTCCCTAGCTAGTACACACTGGACAATATGTTTGAAGAAGCTAATGTCAAGCAACATAACCTCTCCAACCATTTGGTGTTTCAAAAAATCAGGCTTTCAGCAACTTTTAAAAACAAAATTATCCTTGTTGGCTATGTACTCTCCTCCTGTGCCAACATAGTGCCGCAGTGTTCAGCAACTACTAATAATTTTTTGAAGGTAGGGTTGTTCTGTTTTGCTCCATTGTTTCGGGAACCTGAGTAACTGATGGCAGTAATATTTATTATTTATTTGTTTTATTTACAAAATTTGTATCCTGCCTTTCTGCCTCATCAAGGCCATCAAGGTGGCTAACAGTTAAAACTACAAGCTGTGGCTGGTTGGCTTAGGTTGAGTCGGTTGAAATTGAATCCGACGAAGACAGAGGTCCTGTGCCTGAGTCAGGGCAGTGCAAAGGTAGGGATCCCATTCCCAACCTTCAATGGTTCCAGGGCCGGCTCGAAGTGCTTCTGCGCCCTAGGCAGGCACAGATGCCAACCTCCTGGTGGGGCCTGAAGACCCTTTGGCTGCCGCCGCCTCTCCCCCCAGGGGGGAGGGCGGGTGAGCTGTGGCTCGGGGGCGAGGCCGGGCGACACAGAGGGGCGGAGCTGCGCAGGCGGCGGCATGGCTGG